GTTTTCAGCAGCCTTGTAATTAGTTCCTTTTAGGCAAATACACTGAGATATCTCGAACATCGTGCCAACTGAAACATAGGCGGCCTGTGTGCAGCACAATCAGTTGTAGAACATCATAAACGAGAGATTCAGTTGAGTCTCTCGTGGAAACCAAATTGATTTGCAAATGAGTATATTTCTCGAAAGCCAGTTGCTGTTTTGGTGGAAAACCGCCTTAATTTACAGTAATCTAGGGCTGGACAGCTTACAAATGAAGGACACATCACGGCTGTCTTTAGCACCAGAAGCAAACCCAGCAGTTTAGGGAATGTTCCAGGATGGATCACTTAAAAGGGCTGCAGCTAAGCCGTGAAAGCATTTCAGACATCTAGAAGCCCGTGCTAAATTATTCACCGGAAGCCTATTACTTACATTTACGACTGATGAATTGTTAAAGTGACGTTCACCTCCTTAAGCAATGCACCTTATGAAGACTGATCATAACACACAACCCTTATTTGTGCGGATGCGCCAACAGTCATCAAACCATGCATTTTTTATATTTATCGTTCCGTTATCATATTTCAGGGTAACCAGCAACAAAAGATCCTCGGAAGACTTCCTACCAGGATATCACCGGTATGCCAGACACTAATGAACCAGTGGTCTTACCCTACTTCACATCTCTTCCCACTGAGTCAAAAAACAAGTTTCAGTAGCTTGTTGGTTACACATGGCCGTCTCAGACGTACTTCAGACTGAGGCACCCATTATTTGGTATTTCTGGGATCGCTGCCCCCAGTAACCTCATGCTTTCCATCTAAACTCTATCAGTGTAAAGCCCGACCTTTTGCACACCTTTTGTTTCCTCGCTAATGGTACTTTTGGTCTACTGACGGTCAAGCTGTTCTTATCCTTCTGCGCCAGACAACTGTCAATTCATCCGTCGTGTAAATGCAACAACCGGGTTTTGTAGCATTGGGCGTGATCCAGTGGAATGCTCACTAGCGCCCGTGAGTGGTTTAATCCGACAGATATGTTAGTCGAGTGATTAGCTTCATAGAATTAACGGAAATCTGAAAAGTCTAGATGGTTGTGCAATGAAATTTTCCATCACAGTATAAAAAGCACCTCAACTGAATAAATAAAGTTTAAAATTAATCATTCAGTTGTGGTACTCTTTTGATGCCAAACTGCGATGCCACCCGAAAGAAACACAAGGTCTGATCTACTGCCAGGTTTCCCAAGCCTGGACACGAAAATTCGAAATACAGAGGTTCGATTCGAACCACAGACCCTCCGGTCAGTAAATTTGTGCTTCAACCACTGGGTCTTCTCGCCCTCATCACGAGAAAGCTAAAGAATGCCTTCAAAGTCACACTTTTTTCCTAGGATGCAAATCTGAAGACAAAGCGCTATTCCAGTAGTCTAGTAGATAAAACTGGATCTAATTGACGATTGTGTCTAGAGTACTGACGACCCCTGAGCTAATGCATTCTAAGTAAATGAGTGGAACACTTGAAAGTTTGTGAATTTACATGAATCATGTAGTTACGCATCTTTTAGCGGTCAAAATAATTAACAATCCATCCGATGGTGAAAACTTGATCTCGATGTGTAGTAAAATCTCACACTGACCAGCCTCAAAGTGCTGGTGCAAAGAGGTGACCGCAAGGCATAAAGTCAGTTTCCTTAATGGAAAGCGTCGAGAGGACCGGCCAAAATAGTCCACTCATGCAAGCGGCTCTCCGTAGACGATGTCTGGTCACGACAATTCAGTAATGTTGATACCTTTGTTGTTTAGTAATTTATGAACTTTGTACACCACGGCTAACTTTTGTGTCGTGCGATAATCTCGCTAAACTGAACCAAATACGGACAATGGAATTCACGTGTTTATGTGAGTGTTGAAATTCCGCTCCGGACTTTATGGATGGCGTTTCTGATTGGTAGCTGTGAGCCGCGAACTCGTTTGGTGGGTTCGTACAACACTACCGATTCCTTCTTTATTGTTTTCATAAAGGGAACAAATTTGTTTTCTTAGTGCTGACAAAAGTGTGCTCGGAGATAGTCTAATAAGAACGATTCTCAGGCTATCAATATTCACTCGGGATAAGCGCGAATGTCCTAAAATAAAAGTATGTAGGGCTTCTCTAGGTTACCCTCTAGAATTGGAGTGGCTATCGTGAGTGCAGTATACTTATGTGTTAAAGGCACTGCCACCCATGGAACTTTAATAACCCAGTCTTTGTTGCGGAAATACATCTATCGAATACCCGGGGGTTCGTCACACCTATGCACTCAAGCAAACAGTCAATGCTTCACTCAGGTGACATTTGTCACATATGGACTATCTGACTGGTACAATTAAGCCAGAGTGTACATCAGGAGCAGATGCTTTGTACCGATCTAGGGTTATCTGGTGGGGGCGTTGCCCTCCGAATGAGAATCTGGAGGAAACGTACTGGACTCAAAGGGTGTCTGTTCTCTCGTGCAGGGACTAATGGCATGAACCGGAATTCTGTTTGCCAGCCAAAAGTTACCAAACTACTAGACACCCAAAGACAGTTCGGTAACCATAGAGGGAGCAAGTCCTTGAAGACGGTGTAGACTCGGAGACAGCGGCTATCCGATGAGCCCCAAGAAGGGCGAAACAGATGGTGAGGTGTCGAAGAGTTTTCAGCAACCTTATGAGTGGTGCATTACGTATACACTGGTGCGTCTGCTTTGAGCAGAGAGCACTTCGTTCACTGTCGCTTCATGGTTTTGTTTTTTGGTAAGAAGAGCCTTTTAGATTAATCCTAATTACACTTATTTGAATAGGGTGGTGATAATTGTCCGACACTCCTATTGTAAAAGAACACACGATGCCCACGTGACCTTTGAGCTTAGCATCCCTTGCCGTCGTCATCCGGTCGATGCTGAAGCGACATTTATCCATTAGAGTCCCGGTTTATGACCTTGTGGCCCACAAACCGAATACCGCGCTAAGGAAATTAATCTCTAGACCGAAGGACAATCGAGACAAAACCAAGTAGAACAATTCGATATATCAACTCAACTGCAACAACTGCAACAGATTCTACGTCGGACAAACTGGGGGGAGACTATGTACATGAATAAAGGAACACAACGTAGCCCTCAGGAGACATGATCCCCTGTCCTTGATATCCATACACGAGGACCAAGAAGACCACAAATTCAATCTGAAAAACGCAAAAATATTGGCATGCGAAGAGACGAGATACTGAAGAGAATTTCTGGAAGCATGGCATTCCACGGCAGATTCGATCAACCGGTGCATCGAACTGGATCCAATTTACGCACCCCTAAGTTCCAAGGACAAACATCTCAACCGGAACACTCAGGGAGGACCGAATATTGGATTCACAAACAAAGAAACAAGGAACTCCTTTGAGGCAAATCAATAAAGGTCACAAGTCGGGACTCGAAAGGACAAAGGTCACTCCAGCATCAACCAGATTATGACGGCAGGGGATGCCAAGCTCAAACGTCACGTGGGCATCGGCGAATGGGGACACAGGACAACGGAGCAACCAATGGAACCGCCCGACCGAACAACTAGTCGCGATCAAAGGTCATCCCTGCTAGCAGCACGTATATTAACACACGCGTAACACTACTCAATGCATAACCACTAACCCACCGCTACGCACTACTACGCTCCTCAATAACGCACTGATCATGTCACCTCGGTTGGTGATGAAACGTTTGCAATCAAACTGCCCAGCTCATTAAACAAGCCAACGACCAACAACACACGAGTTGCTATTCCACTGTGATTTTCATCCCTGGCATCTGACAGTCTCCCACCTAATTAGAGCAGTCAATAGCCACCTGCAATTAAAACAGTTTCGGTATTCTTTTAATAATTGTGGCACCATAATTTGGTTTGCCTTGTGAGTAGCCCTGAAGGGAATTCAGTCTGTGAACCTCCTGTACAATTATGATCAATACTGATTTTACCATCCCCACCTTTTTTACTAGCACTGTACCTGTAACTAGCATCGTGTCCATACGAAATGAGAATCAATGGTTTTATTGCAACCAGCCTCGATGATTCCAAATTGTCATTTGCATGGTTAATGAAATAAACCGATTGATCTTGGTGCTCCGTACAGTCGTCCCATAGTTGGTTCATCGCAGTTCAACATTAGTCCAACCTTCAATGTACTAACCACACCATCATTCTCAAGAGGGTCGTTCTGACTCACTGAATGACAATCAAGGCGAACAGATTGTGGCAATTACACAGTGCCACTTGTCCCAAACGAGGGGTTCAGATTGATAAAACTTACAAACAGACCTACGACTGTGGTACTTTCGGGATATTGGTATGCTTCGTCACAATCTGATATGGTTTATGCTGCTGTGCACGAGGTAACTGGTTATCATTTTTCGCCACTAACAAGTTGCGTTTCAATTAGTCTGTTGTACATGCCATTCGATTCACTGGCAAGTCGTGTGAGACGCGGGGTATTCACAGTGAATCTGGAGTTGATTAATCAAGTAGGTGAAATATCTTAGCCGAGAATGGAATAATTCGTGAATATAGATGCTTTTTGTTGGAAATATTACTATTGGACAACCGGTTGGTAAAGAATTTTCCGTTCTGTTTGACACCGGTTCCGATGGAATTTGGGTGGGCTCTTCGAAGTCCAGAGGAGATATGTGGAAAGGTCGCCGCGTGTACGATGAATCGGCCATAAGCTCACTCAGTGCTCCAAGTCAGCAATTTTCAATCCGATACTACACGGCAACTGTTGAAGGAAAAATTTGGAGTGATGTCTTACAAGTGAATAAATGTTTATCACATTCTATGCCATTCTTTCCGCAGATTGGAGATTACTCTCTGTCGGAAATCAGATTTGGGTTGGCTCATTTAATGAGAGGTCCGATTACGTTGGAAAAGGGGATTGACGGTATTTTCGGATTGCAATATGAGTCTACTCAGTCATGGGATCCACCTAATATACTAAAAGAACTTGCAAAGAAAAAGTATATTGACAATCGCGTATTTTGCATCCACATTTGTCCGTGAGTTTGAACATCTTGTTTACTTCAACCAAATGAGTGTTCATTTTGTGATATCCCAGCAATAAATGCACAGAAAAGTGTTTACAACAATATATTTTATGGAAACAGAGGAATAAAGTTGCCAATTACGGAACTCCAATAAAAACCTCATCTCTGATGTGTCCTCATCATACCATACGCTATAAACAGTGACAACGTGCTTCAGTGGTCAAGTTCTGAATTTTTACAGCTTGTTCATAGTCACACCATTTTCGATTGAACGGCCGTGTCCCTGTTCTGGCGTAATTATTCCGGTGAGTCCACACACCGGTGAGTCCACACACACTCTTATTAGAGCTCATCAGCAGTGCATATCCAAGGGCCGTGCCGGAATTCGAACCCCGGACATCTGACATGCAAGGCGAACGTGTGACCACTACTCCACCAACGCACGTTGGACGCATCTGAATTTTTACGTCTGAACAGGCGAACGTGTTCACACTTGAGTGATGTGATTGGCGTGCCCGACTCATCAAACGACGACTGTCCTGGTTGTGACGACAGCTTGACCAGCATTGATGCATGAGTAAGAACCGTTTCTGCTCACGAATATGTACTCAAGCACGTACAGCGCAAACAAAATGACGGTCCTTGAAATATCCTTGGACTAACAATCATTCGCTTTTCGGACAAACACTGTACTAACTCAGTGACAGCGGACGCTACCCCATGCGCACAGGTGCGACTGACTTCATACTAATTAATCCCGACTCTCCCTCTTGAATCAAAACTTGATATTTTCCAGTGCCGTTTGTGTTCCAATTGCTTGACTTCCACAAAGTGGCCAAATAATTTACGGACGAACGTTCCATCACCAAACAAAATGGCACCATTCTGAGTGTCGTGAAAAGCCAACGAAATGAATCGGTGGCTTTCAGAGAATAATTTACAAAAAATTAAGTGGGTGATTACCCCAGGAGGATAAGCTGTGCATGTAATCAGTGTGAATTTATTTATCGTTTCACTTCGGGGGACACTAATGTTTCCTTCAGTACTCATCGTCAACTGGTTTCTGCCATTGCAATCCTCATTCCAGTTGAACCATTTCTTTGGAAGACGATAGTTTAATGGCATACTTTTCAAATAATTTTCGATTGTACGATTTTGAGGTTTTCAACGCTATCCGATTATAGATGACTCGATAAGATCGGGTCTAGAAAATTAGCCAATCCCACGTCTCGAACTGATGGGTGGATGTACTAGGATTCATTCGCATCACGTTGAGGTTCAAGATCCCATGATCTAGTCCAAAATCAGGCCATCGCCAGTTGACAAAAGATTGACCAGAATTATCCCGCAGTCTGAGTGAAAGCTATATGAACAACCAGAGTAAGAAACTGTTCCACCGAGGCCTTTGAACCATGGAATTCGTTGTCGTCCTGTGACTACTCCAAGGTCATCTGCAGGCCCAAGGCAACAAGATGGGCACAGTGGATGTGCGGTATCTTCCTTGTACCTGTGAAGCAAACTTTTTGTCCTCCTGTGAATAGGTTCACCTGCTGAAGTTCATTAACAACTTTTCCAAACTCGGAACAAATGTTTACCAGCAGGTGTCATTTCGGGTTGGTCTTTGGATTGTTCCACCAACATAAACGTTCTTTCATGCAGGCCTACTCAGACGGAGCCTTGGCGAGGGGGCATTACCTTTGGGGCTGAGTGCTCTGCTTGCGGTATCACCAAAATATCCTACCAGCCTCGAATCAGCAGACAATTTTGGAAAATATCCACCAACGGGTGAGTTAAATAGCCTGTGTTAACCCTCTGTTAGATCTGGAAACCAATGATTTTTTTGAAAAAAAATGTTCGCATACTTTAAAGCAATGGGATCCTGTGAGTGAAGTGCTTGATTGTACGCTTAGGATGGGTCAGAGGGTAATCTTGCTGCCGTGAGATAAGTCCGGGATTGTCCTGTCCTTGACTGTTGGTCAGACAAACCTATGCCAATAAGCCTTGTGTTGTGCTGTTTTTCCGCACTTCATAATAACCAAACTGGATCGCTGAAACAGTGCTGTATCAACCAGTGACTTGGAGGGAGATCCACGTCTGAATACCAAAACTGCTGCTGAGATATGATCTTGTAACCAGCGTAATGCCTAAAAATCGAGGACTTCAGCTGGTATTGGCAATTATTCGGTGTAAAGGCTATGTGGAGACACTGAATAGGGTGGCCTTGATGTGACATATTTTCCTCATAGTAAATAGCTTTTTATTTCGGTTTGCAATACTACCATACTTTGAAGCTAATGTACTAACATGTTCTCCTACATCTCGTTCCACCGGTTACTTAATTCGTCAAACCAGGTTACTGAAAGAAAGCTCTAGTTTCCAACTAGAGCACACTCAAGATAACCTCTCTTTCCTTTCACTATCTGCTCCCTCAATTCCCCGCTTCACCGTGATTTTGTCTAACCCAATTGCTGTTGTATAGCGGTAGTTCGGGCGACTCTGACTAGGTGCCGGCTTGTCCCACAAGCTCGAGAATACATATTTGCGTATGGGAACCTCTGTTGTCAAGTTTTAGTTTATCAGAGTGAAAAACAGCTATCTCTCTCTCACACACATAGGTACTTTAAAAGGAATAGGTGAACCATTCTAGTTTTGGCAAAGGTTGTTACGCCTAGGCAGACCATCATTATTCCTCCAACGCTTAGCAGAAGGGACTGAATGCAGTTACCTCTGTTAGAGTTATCTAGTCTAGCAATTAGCCTGTCCAATTCCGACATCAATCGTCACGGAAAACTACGACGAGGCGTTATTAGCATGAGAAAAAACACAGGAACTGACATCATGTACTCTATATACTAAGAATGATAAATCACGTTTGTGCTGGTTGCAATGAGCCAGAAACCATGAATGATAACCCAGTAGATGAAAAACTTGGGGCAGATTTTTCAGAAGTGAATATTTAATTGAATCACTTCACGTCAATCCATCTAGCTCACTAGGAGGACTTAGAACAGGGTCATACGATCTAATTTTGAACTAAAATCCGCATGACCAGGAAATGAGTCGAATATGCCCCACAATTTCAGTCACTACTTCCCTCTGCACAACACAATGACGTTTTTTGCCATCCGTGATAAATCAATAACGTTGGGTGGCACGGCATCAACGTGCCGGACCCTACCTAAGTGCACAATGGACCATCATTTAAAGTGTAAGTTTCCTGGTGTTACAGCACGGTGAACGTCCTTCGAGGGACAGAGAGATCGGGGTAAATGTCCATTCCTTTGATGGCTCGAATCTCTGCACTGTCATTTAACTCAAAACCAAAGGTTGAGCGGCCTCTGTGCACTTTTTTGGAGACTGGTGCATTAAACCAATGGAAAGTTTTGGAATAAAGAGTTTTCTGATGACAAAATATTCCGGATAAAGATCAAGGTAAAATTGCTTGAGTATCCTGTTTCAAGCTTGCGCTGGATCCCTGATGGGCGAAAAAATTAAATTTTAACTTTGGTCATGCCAGATCGCCTTCCTCCCATCTTGATAACTTCGTGCCATATATAAGCGTTTATAATACACAGCTATAGCTTCCCCGCCT